TCGGGATAGAATTTGAAAGTTCTCCCTGCAAACCACATCTGACCTGACTAAAGGTCTGGTTGTACAAGGATCTAATTAGGAACAGAAGACGTCTATTGATAGAACTTTTGAGCAGTTTTGACCACAACAATCCCCTAGGGACTGAGTCAAATGCTGACTTTAGATCGATAAAAGCAGTAAAAAGTTTGCCACCTGGTATGGTAGTATATCTATTGACCTGGTGTGCTAAGACAAAGCGGTGGTCCAATGTGGCACAGTCCGCTTGAAACCCAATCTGTTCAGCACCAATAATATTAGACTCCTCAACCCAAGTGAGGAGTCTACATTGGAGATATTTAGCACACAGTTTTCCAAAGATGGAGAGCAGGTTTATGGGGCGATAGTTGGCTGGGTTGTTCCTATATCCTCGTTTAAAAATTGGAACAATAATTGCTAAGCTCCAGGAGGTAGGGATCCTGCCAGAGGTATTAATATGCATAAAGAGTCTTGCTAAGAGAGGAATCCAACTCTCGGGATTTTAGCAAATCAGGGGGTATAGCATCAGGGCCAGGGGCTTTGCCTGACTTGAGTTTGGAGATAAGCTCGGTAATCTCAGCATGAATCATGGGTTGCCAGTCAGGAACTGCAGGAGGCAGCTGTGGCCCAAGCACGGTTGAACTTGTTGATGCCTGGAAAATTGCCAAGAAATGGTTTTCCCAATCTCTGTTAGAAATACAGCAGAGGGGGAGTTCTTTATGACCCTGCAAGAAGCTGGCAACAATTTACCAAAATAATCGAGTGTTCTTCTGCTGAATGGAGAGAAGTAGATCCCACTTCTCTATCTCTTTAGCTTTCTTTTTCTTAACAATTAGTCCTCCCTCCCGCTTCAAGCGATAGTAGTCCTCTGGTGGGCATTTATCCCCTCGATTACGATAGAGCAGGTAAACCTTTTTGTCAAACCAAGAATTACTTCTTGAATGATATGGACCTCTCGGCCTATGGACGGCTCTTAGCTCCCTTTGAACACTATTAATTAGTGATTCAAAGGCCGAGATTGTCCCTGGGCCACTACTTGTTAGAGCCTGATTGTATAGGCTGAGACACTCCAGAGATGATAAAAAGGAGTGGGACTTTCTTTCAGTATTAGAAGACCATTTGATCCTCCTTGTATACGAGGCCACATAGGGATCAAATATCTGGGGACCCCTAGGGAGATGTATATTTGAGGAAAGCCCAATGATTGTAACCAGAGGGTAGTGGTCGCTCTCTGTAAGGCAGTCTATATAGAAAGCATGGACTGCCTTTCTAAGAAGCTGGGATACCAGCACAAAATCAATAACACTACTCCCATGTGAGGAACTAAAAGTAAACTCACCAGCTAGATCACCTAGGGTACTCCCATTAAGAATTATCTTATTGTGTTGGGCTGCTAAAAGGGCTAACTGAATGCCAGCAAAATTTGTTAATTCATCCTTAGAATGTCTGGCTGAAATCAGGTGTCCTATGGCCTGGGGGGTTTCTTGGGAGTAGAGTGCCTCAATCGATGGGGGAACTTGGACTCCCAATCAGGCATTAAAGTTGCCCCCTATAAGGATGTACAGCACTGGAAATTTAGTTTCCATACAAGTAATGTAATTCTCCAGCACACCCCATTGAGCCTTAGTATCAGCTTGCCTCATCGTTGGGGGATGATAAATGTTGAACACTAACAGTTTGCTGCATCCTCTCTTAATTAGGAGTACCATAACTAAAGAGCCTCAGGGAGGCAGCTCCACTGTCCACTTTCAAAGAAGTAAAGACCAAGTAAGCTAGACCATCCTTAGGCCTTCCTGTCATAGATTGTCTGGTAGTGGCCAAGGAAATGACCGTAAACCCTGTAAGGGATATCTTATTGCATGCCTAGGTCTCCTGAAGCAGGACCACATCAAATGAGTGAATATAGTTGGCAAATTCTGTGGTGCCACACCTTCTCCTCCAGCCTGCTATGTTCTATGAAAGGCACTTAAGCGTGCAGGTTTTTTTTTTTTTGCCAGATTTAATAGTCATTCTGTGTGATTAATTTTTCCCAGAGCGCCCTTTGGATCCAAAAAGATACACCCGTTGTTAAGTGGCAGGATCATCCTCTTAGGAGGCAAAGGCAGGGAAGGAGGGAGGGGAAGAGAGCCTTGTTCATGGGGCTGTAGGGCTCTAAGCGCACTCGTTTGTACTTGTGGCATTAATTGGTTGCTTAGCTGGCAAGTATTCAGCAGCATCAACAGATGGAGTTTGAAGTAGCCCTGGATCTTCAAATTTATGAATTAGACATTCTGGAGGGAGCACCAAGGGAACTTCCATTGGTAAATCAGTATAGACTCCCTGGAGTCCAAGGGAATCCTTAACAGGTAGTGAAAGACTCCAGAGCTTGGATTTGACTGCATCCAGATGCTTTATGATTTGGGCCCTTTCTGATTGTGGAAGCACACAAAAGGAGTTGAAGAGCTGTGTCTCCTCCTGGTTCCATAAATTGTCTTGACATAAGTCAATCTCATAAATAGATGGAATCCCAGAAGCACTGACCTGGGGCTTATTTATTTACTAAAGAATCTTGGATGCCCTGGGCTGGTGTCGCTTCCTTTGGGGCCATTTCTTCCCAGCTGATCAAATCAAGGGAAGCTTCCTGGGAAGATGTTACTCGCTGCAAGGGGTTAATTTGACCAGTTGTAGGAGGGACAGTCAGGCTACCATCTGAGAGGACGCCAACTGGAGGTTTTGCGGGAATAGATGTATAATTAGTACGTGATGTAGTATCCAAGATGGCATTCAAGGTTGGCACATTAATATGTGCTGCTGAGGATCTTTTGGGGGCAATAAATCTCCTGCCACTCACAAATTGTCAATTACTCAAGAGTGGCTTAATCGATATATCTTTGAAGACTCTTCTTGGCAGAATGCCGAAGGATCTTAACATGGATCCTCTTCTGAAAAATAGTTTTGGGGTGTTGGAATTGTCAAAACTGAGTAGCACTCTAGTGCAGTATTCAGGAGAGGGTAAAAGTTCAACCTTCTTCAAATCATCAGCTTTTAGCTCCAATATCTAATATATGGCCCCTCACCAGCTGTGTTGAACCCCAGTGAGGTAAGTTGCCATTAATGGGATTAATGATGAGGGCCATCTGTTTTGATTGTAAGACCAGGTGACTGCATCAAAAAATGTAAAGTTCAAACTATTGGTAGGATTACATTGGCCAGTGCTTTTGCTGAGGCTTGGCAGGGAGAACCCTGCCACCGCATCGGGCTGCCGAGCGGTCAACCCAGGACTCCCACTGGTAGTCCAGGAAACTAAATAGTTTAAAGTACTTATTATTTTATCAAGCTGGAGCTGAATGCTCGCTATAGTTTTTGCAACCAAGAAACACTGCTGAGCCAAAAGTTCTGTAAGGGTGGGCTCATTTAAGGATTGGTTGGGGGCCATAGTTTTAAATAAGCCTTTGTTCTCAACTCGGGGGCCAATGCCCTCAACCGTCGGAAGATGGCGACAACAGCAGCCAGACAAAAGGGAGCAGGAGCTTTCAAACTGAGAGGCCTAGCTAAAACCAAGTCCTCAATCTTGGGTTGCTTCAAAGAAAGTTGAGGAACCAGGTCAGTGAGAGATCTGCTCCTTTTTCTTGTCTTCATTATGTTAAGTAGAACAATAGAGGGGGAGCTGTGTAATATAGCATAGAGTCTAGTCACTGAAACAAGTCCTAAATCCAGAGGAAAAGGAATCGGGAGTTGAGAAGAAATGAGTCCTGATGCAAACAATGGCAGAGCTCCTCACATGTATATACCAAGGATCCTGCCCTCCCGACAGAGCAGGGAACATGAGTAAATAAAAATGATAAAATAATAAAAATAGTGGATAAAAATAGAATAAATCAGATAAGAGAAATCACATCAAAGCTAGGCATTGCTAGACTTCCAGCTAAAGGAGTAAGATCTTTCGAACAACAACAAAGAAGCAGCAGCAAGGCCCTCCTATAGCTGAGGCCCAGCTCGGGCTTTTTAAAAATACAGCTAAACCATAGCTGAAATATAACTAGATTAGTGATCACACTGCAAAAATTTCAAAAATGTAAAGGGTTTAAAAATAAAAATAAAAATTTGAAGACTAAGATATGATAGAAAAATAGCCTTAAAAGCAGTTAACAATTAGAATAGGTTAATTTAATCTTAGTTAAGCAGAGAGCATACTTGCCTGCTGCTCCCATCTCTTCCCCCATCCAGGAAGTAATACACATAAACACAGTAGGAAAACCGGATTATTTATATATGGGGAGAAATTATTTCCGTAGTCATGTGGTTCTTGCTAAAGGAGCGGCTGTTTTACTGTTTATTTTATATTTGCCAATAAGACATGAATTGAGGAGAAGGTGCCTGGAAGATATATTGTGATAGAAGTATTGTACAACTAATTACACCAATGTAATAAGGACTAGATTTAAAATGTGATTCTTTATCCATTTCTGAAATGTGTTATGTTCTAAAATGAGAAGATGGGACAATGTGTTTATGGTTTAGATTTAATAATATGTTTAAGAACATTAATTTTATATTGAAATCATATACAAGTAGTCCACCACTTCCAACCATAATTGGAACTGTCTATTTGCTAAGCAATGTAGTTGTTAAATATGCTTTGCCCAATTTTATGATCATTTTGCTGCAATCATTAAATGAATCACATGCGCATTAAACAAATCCAGTCTGAATGTATGTGCAAGGATTGATCATAACTCACTTTTTTCAGCAGTTCCCAATTTCAAATGGTTGTTAAATGAATGGTCTTATGTCAAAGACTACCTGCAAATCTAGTTTTTCTTAGTTTTTCTTTTTCTCTTTATATTTAGTGATTATTTTAATCACTGTAATAGTAATAGCACTCAGACTTATATACAGCTTTACAGTGCTCTACAGCCCTCTCTAAATGGTTTAGAGAGTCAGCCTATTGCCCCCAACAATCTGGGTCCTCACTTTACCCACCTCAGAAGGATGGAAGGCTGAGTCAAACTTGAGCCTGATGAGATTTGAACTGCCAAATTGCGGCAGCCGGCAGAAATAGCCTGCAGTACTGCACTCTGACCACTGCACCACAATGGCTCATGGTAATGGTTTCTGACTGGCCCTAATCTAAGTTTGAACAATTTACTATGCCAAACTCCAAATGATTTAGAATTTTGTGTGAAAGCAGTGATGGAAAATTGAATGCAAGAAGTAATTATCTAATATAAATTGATATTCTCAGGCAAGCTTCCTTTCAAATAAGGCTATCAGATTACAACTTTCATTTTGAGTATATTAAACTGCTGCATTTGTGCATGATTCTTTTCTATCTGCAAAAATGCTCTGATTTACAAGAATGGCTTAAAAACTTTTCTTAGATAGAAGATCAATTGCAAATAGAGCCACATATAGCGCAGAGAGGTTTGAGGAAGAATCAGGGGGTATAGATCCGGTAACAGTGCATCCACTTCGTTGAATAGATATTCCACTTATTTCTTCAATTAATGCTCCAGTTATATCCCATTCCTCTTCAGGTAACTGCTGGATTTCCACAGTGAAATTCTGTTTTTCATTCCAAAAATATTTGTCTAGGATCCCTCCAACCTTTGGAAACAAAAGATAAATAAAATAGAATTTGCAGTACTTGATCAGTAACATACACGTTGAAAATCAATTGAGGCCAATATAAAATGCAGTGTGTATATGGCATTCTATTAGAATAAATTTCAAATTTGAATGCTGTAACCTTGTAATTGCCTCAGTCTTATTGGAAGTGATGCAATTCTGCTTTGAGGATCCTGAAAGCATTCTAAGCATGAACTACCGGTGTGGTAACAGTAAAATGATCTATTTCAATCTCAAAATGTTTGGATTTGAAACAGTTTGCATAGCAAAAAATTGTTTCAGTTGTACCCATTGGTTTAGCAATCCTGTAAGGTTACACCAGCACTGGAAACAAATTACTTAGGACTGGTCCTTGTACCTACAACAGTGCAACATTGCCACAGTCATATGATCAGAGATCAGGTGCTTGACACTTAGCATGTATTTAACAACATTTGCAATGCTCTAGAGACATGGGATCATTATTTGCCATTCTCCCTGCTGGCTTCCAAGAAGGTAAGTCAATGGGAGAAGCTGGATTCACATAACAACTGTAGTGATTTACTTAACATTCATGGCAAAAGTGGTGATAAAATCAGTCATAAAATTGGGTCACACAATTGACCATAATATTGAGTGTGACTCACTTGGTAACTGCCCTACTTAATAACAGAAACTGTGGTATCAATTGTGGCCATAAGGTGAGGACTATCTCTTCTGTATGCCTCAATGTTTTATTAGCATACAAATACAATAGAAACCCAAAGTTCATTTTGCATTGCTGTTAAAAGTCTACAATAAACAAGCAGAAGCCTTGTACATATAGCCTCTTAGTTCAGTTAGAGCAGGGGGGGTCAAATGCAGTTCGTGGGCCGGATGCATCACACACAGGCCATGCCCACCCTGCCTCCCCAAAGGCAAAAAAGTCACAGTACGTCATGTGACATCACATGACGCAATTGAGTTTCTCATCTGTGAGCTAGAGGAAACTCACGTGTAATATCTTAATGCCTCAGAGAAGAATGAATGTTCACAAAAGCAAAATTATTTTTACTTTAAGTTCTCTTACCAGGTTCAGTTGCTGGGATACAATCTTTTTTTCCACAGATTCTATCAGGAGCATTATCTGGAATTCTGTCAGTTCTGGATTTTATAGAAAAAAATAATGAGAAAATAGGTCTGTTCTAGAAAATGTTACATCAAAAATAACTGCCCAACATTTCTGTAGCAGTAATTCTTTATTCTCAATTGGAACAGATGATTTAGATCAGTTTGAATGAATAACCCCTTACATTATCTATAGTTAATTCTAAGCTGGAATGTGCTACCGGTATAAATAAATGAAACTGGATTAACCATACTAAATCACATAGCTGTTCTGATTCCTTGCAATTTACCTTTCAGTGGTCAGTTACATCAGTATCATATTAAGTCAGGCTCCTATGTTTCTATCTTTCTACTGTATGTGAATTCAGCCATTGTGAATTCACAAAGTGAAAAATCATTTAATAAATTTTGATCAAGTGATTAACCAAGTTTATTGGCCCTTAAACATGGTTTATTTTAATAGCAGTGTTCATACAGTATGTAAAGTCATTATGAATTAGCATTATGGGTGGATTCCACCCATGTCTAAAGTTGCATTCCCTTGTATCTTCTGAATTTTTTGTTGTTCAGTTTAATCTTAGATACAACTGTAACATTTATTTATAATAAAGATTACTCATTAAGAAAACTTTTGGGGACAAGTCTTCAGGTTTCTTTATGCTATGTATGACAATGTCTGCCCATCCAGTTATGGGCCTATGGAAATGTACAGATAGTCTTTGTTTAGTAATTGCCTCATTTAGCAACTATTTGCAGTTACAATGGTGAAAAAAAGTAACTTTTTGACTAATCCACGCATTCACAATATTTGCAGGCGTATAAAGCAAAGGGAAGGTGAGGTAAGATTATAAGCATGACAGAGGTTTCACTGGTAACTGCCTCACTTAATTAGTGAATTGACAGTCCCGATTAGGGTCACTAAAAAATGACCCTCTTCTGGCTTCAATAGACTTCAGCAGATTTTGGCATACCTATGCATTTCCAGATGAAGATGTTCAATCTGTTTGGGACATAACACTCTGATTATGTGTAGGGTTTATTTAAAGCAGGATCAATGATATTGGAAATCTCTCTCCCCTGCCCTCATTCCTGCCCACACCCTTGTATGGTGGTCCTGCTCTGATTGGGTCATGGTGCAATTGTTTTCTAAGGTCTTTCTTCTGTTTTGGTTGAAAATTATAGTATTAGCTTGTTCAGCCTCCATGCAAAGTTGGTTAAGGTACAAGTCCAGGAAGTGGTAGCCAAACAGCTAATTGATTATCTGATCAGTTAATAAGTCTTGTTTATAGTCACTCGAACAACATATAGATATTTGTACAAAAACACCTTACAATTTTTTATTTAATTATATTTTGCATTTCTTAACCACCTCTCTTCCTGAGAGAGAGAGAGAGAGAGAGAGAGAGAGAGAGAGAGAGAGAGAGAGAGAGAGAGAGAGAGAGAGAGAGGGAGAATTTTGTAAAGATGTGTTTGTCTTCCAATTTTACTTGCTCTTAGGCTGAAAGTTAGTGAATTATTAATGACCATTGTAATTTGAAAGAGACTATTTTTACCATCAAGAGCCTGAAGAAAATAGAGGGTAGCCTCGGCAAGTTCAGTGACAATGGCTCCTTTGACATCTTGCAAGTTGTCCATCAGATCCTTAAACTCTGATTCGTCCATATTTAGTCTGAATTGTTCAGGATCTTCAAGAACCTGTTCCAGCTAGAATTCAAGTTGGAGAAATAGGCAGGAAAATAATATTTTACAGATGGACTTGGTGGTACATATGTATATGGATGGGTTACTGTAATGTGAGAATTGAATCTGAATTCAGTTCATTGGGAATTTAAATGAAATTTTTAAACATAAATCTTAAGAACCACAGGGGAAAATGCTTTTTTAAATTTGTGACAGAGGAAACGTAAGACATTTTTTTCAAAATCTTTTCTAGCATTGGGCAAAAAGGATATTGTGATTTTTGGTAACTGATAGGCTGGCAGTCCCCCAGTGTAACTTCCTCCTTCCTGTCTGCCAGATCTTCTTGAGCTTCCCCCAAATGCTCTTTTGAGAGAAACAGTAATACCCGAGAGTTGGAAAACCTGGCAGTTGTTTAGGTCTTAGAACCCAATAATCCCAAAAATTAAGTAAAATTTTTTTTTGCAAGGATAAATGGCAGCCCTTTAAGGTAACCAGACTAGAAAAGTCATGCATGCTAATGCTACTTATTATAAAGTTATGGTAACAGAAATAATATAATTCATGACTTTGGTTTTCTAATGTGGTCTAGTTTATCTTGAAGAATTGACATTAATCTTGCAAAAATATCAGTGTGCTCCCCCTCCTTCTCTTTTATCTTTGTGGACACTCAAAACTCTTGTCTGAGATGCTTACTCAGGTTACAATTGTGTGCTAGGCTCAGATGTCTTTGACCTAATAGTTGTCTTGGTTGTCTTGGCTCTTCTTCCTGTCCCTCAGGATTATTTTTTCTGCCCATCATAGAGCCTTTGGAAAAAAATCATCTTGTGAGCCAATTCTGCACTAGGAGGCTTTGGTTATGTCTTAGTCACCTTCAAATTGCATTACTGCAAATGATTCCACATGGGGGTGCCCTTGAAGGCCAACTAGAAATACAATTGGTCATGAATGCAATGCCACACAAGTTCTGGGTGTCCCGTGATTCATCCAACTTACACCATTGTTGCATGAGCTTCAGTAACTATTAATTATTCCTGGGTACAATTTAAGGTGCTGGTTATTACTTTTGAATGCCAGCATGGCTCAGGACCAGGCTACATGCAGGACTATTTGTCCCCAGGGGTTATTTGTCCATTCCGAAAGGAGATAGGCTGGGGAGTCCCCTCCCTTAAATACTGTCATCTCATGGGATCTTGGAGGCATGTCTTCTCTAGTCACCATACTCTTTGGAATAGTCTCAACTTCCAGTGGCACTTCCATCAAAGACAGATCCGAGTCTGCAATTGTTCACGGCTTCGCTTTGTGCTCTACCCATTGGAGGGTCCCGAATGGGACTGGAGCTACCCTATGGGGTGGTGAAAAGGGGGGAGACTGCCTGTCAGGTCAAGGGGAGCCGCATCTCCCCTCCCTAGCTAGGAACATTCCCTCTGAAGATGGACTGTAGCAGTAGCCTCAAAATGGCTATTATGAAGATGGAAGGCTAACTGGGAACTAAGGTTGTGCTGGAACGGTGAAGTAGTGAATGGTATGTGGACCAGATGAAATATCTGGACATTAAAAGGTAACTCCGGAATAGAAGAAAAGAGTTCTTGTTAAGGATTGTAGAAGAGGCGATTTGAAAGAGAGAGGAAATATTGAAAACATAAGAAATTGGACTTTGGAAAATATTTAAATGGATATGAAATAATTTAGAGAAAAACGTTCAACTATAACAGATTAAGAAATTGAATTGGATACTTATACAGAATTTGGCACTAATTAGGTATTGATTAAATGCTGAAATTGACTATTTCAAAAAGAAAATAACAGCAAATAATTGGGAATTAGTGAAGTTATTAAAAGCTTAAAAAAGCAGAAAACTAAAAGGTGGAAAGTGGAAACTGAATTAAGAGCACCACCTAATGATAAAGAAAACTTTTTACTGGCTTTATGAAAAGTGTTTGGTCTACTTAAGATCTAAATGTGAAAAGAAATACAAAGGGAATGCATCATGGTAAATGTAGTTAAGGTATCCTGGGAAATGTAGTCCATGTCATGTGGCCACATCTGTAATCCTAACTGGTCACTGAATTGACCCTTGGTGGGTTGGGGGAGGTTTCTGCACTCTTGCCTGGAACCCAGCAACATGCTGCTGCCTCACCCCCTTGCTCCTTCATTTTGGGAATGAAAGATTACCATCCTTTTACACCAGAAAGTCAGCTATGCAAAGAGTTGGACATTGACATGAATCTCGACATAACCATGCGTTATTGAGAATGCCTGATGAACCAATAAAAAGACTTCGTATGAATGCTTTGTGGAGTTACCTATCTGCCTTTATACATTGTCAGTAATTATAGAGGACAGAATAATGGTTTTGTTTTCATTCTTGTTTTTACTGATTGATGTAAGCTTCCTGGGATCATTATACAAGACATATAAACCCTGTAAGTAAGTAAATAAACAAATAAATTTGGTAATGGCAGCAGAAAAATTTTATATCTCAAATATTAAAACGTAATTGCTGATTGGGAGACAAATAGGGAAGCATAATAAGAGAGTTCACCTATTGACTTCTTCAGTGAGAAAACTTTGAAGAAGTCAGCAATTATATAACAATAGAATCTTGTGTAGGTCATATACAGCTGCCACAATTATGTAGATCTATGAGAAGCAAAATAAATGAACCACAATATTAACAACAGAAACTTCTTTACCTGGAGCTCTAGTTTTTCCAAAAGGTCAGATTTCTTCATTAAAACCACAAAACTAGTTAGAAATTTGCCACGCAGGTTTGAAGACATTAAAGAAAATGGTACATATTCTTTCTCAACTTCCTTTCGAAGGTTTTTCTTATTGCCTTTCCAAACAGAGACGAAAGTGTCAAAATCTGTGTTTTCTGTTATTTTCCTGGCTAATATGAGAAGAAAAAAATGTGGATAAAACAGGAGGAAAAGGGAGAATTAGTATATTCGTTACCTTAAGTTGTATATGAAAAAAGGCAGGATAAAAAAGTTAAAAAATAAAAATTTGGATATTATTTTATTTTAACTGAGCCCAGTAATAAATATTGCCAGCGTATAATATCATTGCAGAGTCTTTTAAGTTCTATATGTTTTACAATTTGGTCTCTGAATGAATCATGTTGAATGTTATTATTTTTAGTATTTTATTATTAATTGTGAGAGAGCAGGCTTTCCAGAAAATTGTTAGCATCTATGATGCTTTCTTCCCTTTTCTTTAAACCCCCACCCCAGCATCAGGATGGCAAGGTTGATTATAAAGGCTTTGAATGAAACAGCTTGAAGGTATGTCTGAGAGAGAGAAAAAAAGAAAGAAGGAGGCATATGTTTGCGTGCAGAAATAAAGCAGCTTAAAAAGGAATGTTTTCCTCTAGTAGTACTCACAAAGGGTAGTAATTGGAATAGCAGTAATAGAGCAGCAGTAATTGTGCAGAAGAGTAGTGAAAAAGAGTATGTGAAAATGCAAGTGGTTGTGTTTTGTCTAGGAACCTGTGTTGTTAGATCTTTTGTGTCTTGATCCCATAAGGCCCATAGTAGACAAAACAGATAGGCATTAGCTATTGTTAGAAGACTCATCCCCTGCTTCAAATGAAATTACAGACTTTCAATCAAGCTCCATAAAAGACACATATTGGGGGACAAGATTTTGGGAATGGGACAACTTGCCACAACCAATTTGCTGTGGCAAATTCAGTGCGGCCAACTCACCACAGCCAACTTGCCACTGCCAATTCACCACAGCCAACTTGCCACTGCCAACTCATCACAGCCAACTTGCAGTGGGTGAACTCACCATGGCCAATTCACTGCAAGACAACTCATTGCAGAACATTTTTAACAATTCTATTTAATTATTTAAAATAAATATTATTTTAATTTTTGCCATTCACTTTTAATTCTGTTCCTCTTTTTCATCCTTTATTTAATGATTCTATTCCACCATTTCTTTGATATTAGTGTAACTCTTTTCCTGCAGCGAGTTGTCCTTGGTGAGATGGCCGTGGTGAGCTGTCCTCTAGCAAGTTGGCCAGGGCGAGTTGGCTGTGGCAGGTTGGTCATGATGGGCTGGCTGTGGCGAATTGTCATAGACCCGTTCTTTTCTGGTTCTAATAAGGGGGAAAATGCAAAATACTTTATTTTAATTACACTGGTATACTATGGAAGCATCTTTTCCCCCGGTAAACATCATAAGCATATTTCTGACTTCATGTTTGGTATTAAGACAGAGAGCCAATGAAAAGAAATTTTGAGGGAATAAAGAACTAGAGTTGGGAAAAAAAATCCCAAGGCTCTTAATTCTTCTGGTGCTTGCATTTGTAACTGGGTCCTTTTGAAATATTAATATTGACTGTCCCCATTCTTGCACATGAGCACTGACCAAAATATGTCATGTTTTCTGCTATGAAGTTGAATTTCCAGGAAATTGATAACTCCTACCATAGTATTAGATTATATCATTTTCTTTTAAAAAAATTATACATTTTTAAAAATCCCATTATCTGTTTTCCATAAAATTCAATATAAATGAAGAAATCAATGTACCCTTTCCATAGCTCAGCCTCACGGCCATATCTTTAAAAAAATCTAAAAAGAAAAGAATTTTTTTTTATTAGTAATCAATAGAAACATTTTGTATTAGCTAGCAAGATTTTAAATGGTTATTAGTATTCATAATACTTCCCTAGGTAACTCGTATAAATAGCTGCTAAAGTTTTAAGGCATCTATTGCAGGCTTTTTCACTTTGAACTTAGCAAACTCTTTAGATTTACCATGGTTGCTTAACTAGGCTTGATTGACTTGCTAAACATACTCACGTAATAGCAAAGAGAACTCTGAAATGAAGTATGTATATAAAAGACTAATGAAAGGGAAAGACCAAAAAGATTTTACCTGCACTTGCAGACGCAATTTGTATTTCTGAAATGCAAAAGAATTACATGAATAAAATGAGGAAATAGAATGAGATAACAATATCAATCTCAGACCTGTCAGTTTAGTTTAACTTCCCATCCAGTACAATAAATTTTTTGAAAAAAATCTGTACTTTCTTATCTACTTTTTTTCTTACATACTTCTGTGTTGTGGCCCTGATTCCCGAGCCTATGCTGTCAGAGGAAGAAGACCTGGAAGATGAGGGGGAGGAACTGGGAATGCCTTCCTCCCCAGGACCTTCCTCCCTGTAATGCCTCAGGTTCCATCAGACAACCGAGAGGAACAGCCTGAGATTAATCAGGAGGAAGGCATGTCGGAGCAGCCCCTGACAGGGAGTGAAGAGGAAGACTATTGGCTTGACCCCAAGCAGCATCGTAGGGAGAAACATGAGCAGCAACGTAGGAGGCGTGGGAGGGTCAGAGAGTGAGCTGAGTCATTGAGCCACACCCCACAGGGAATAAAAGTGGGTGTGTTTTCTCCTTAAACTTTGTACGGGACAAAGTTTAACCTTACTTCAGATTTTCTTCGTGAATGATTATTTTGTGGACTACCTTGTGATTTTTATGAAGTAAAAGAATCATTTATCTCTGTGAGTAAAACTTTATTTGCTGCCAGTTCGGACTTGACAGGCAGGACGTGGTGGAATGGCAAGAATATTATCAGTTCCAAAGAATTAACTCTGCGAAGTCCAAGCCAGCTTGCCTGCCTGTGTTTGTGTGTGTGTGTACTCTTTCATCTTTTGGGAAAGAGGAAAGGCGAGACAGAACACTTCTGCATATAAAGAACACTTCTTGTCATCCCATATTTTAGATTTAGAGCAATGATGTGCCAAACACAACTTTTCAAAAAGTTCATATATTATCTTATAAATTTACAATATTTCATTCACTTATCTTAAAGCCAGGGACCTGGAATAAGTCTTTCTCAAATTAAGCCAAATATATGTGTCCCAGGATAATGTTTCAGGATCCAATCTGAGTCATAGGGGCCAGAGTTTTGCCTTACGAGCTTTTTAACTCATGCTGGAGCCCATCCTCAGGTATTTTTCTGTATGCTTTGGGATGTTCCATGTGTGGTATTTATATGTTGCCTGTTATGTGTAGCTTTTTAGATGTAGATTGGGGAGTTGATGGCTGGCTATTAAGTTGTTGGCTCTTGTTTCCTTGTGTTGTCAAGAAACTCCTTGACTTGATAATTCCAACTCCTAAGTTCTGGATAAACTGGGGGTAAATCAGCACTTCTGTTGATTGATGAGGGGCCCTGTGTCCTAGGCTTCAATCACTTCTCTGGCTATTATGGTCATTCAACAATCTTAGTAGCTGCAAAATTGAATGTCTGTCGGTGATTATTGTAATGTGAGGCAACAATGAGTTTGGGTCTCCTAATCTTGCTTGCTTGTATTCTTGCAATTTGGTGATTAGCTTCTTCCCCATCTGTCCTACATAGTCACGGGTAATCCATGCAAGGGAGATTATGTTGGAAATGTCTCCCATCTCCAAGCAATCTTTACAGTGCATAATTTCATATATTTTTCCACATATTTCTTAGAGGTCAATGAGTCAGGCTAAGTCTTAGTAAAGGCAAGATTAGGCTTTTTTATGATTTAAAAACCACACACATATAATATGCCTAATTTAAGTTTGATATACCAAGTTTCCTTTTCTCTCCCAATGAGAATTTGTGCTCCTGTAGTTATAGCTGGGCATGGATTTATAACAGCCTACTTTTTTCTTATGAAAGTGAACAGATAGTATTATTTTAAACCTCTGACTTATTTTGAATGTTATCAGTGCTTAATTGATAAATTCTTGTTTTAATGTTTAATGTTCAAGTCCTCCCTCAACCATGTAAGTTCATTTGATGATGTTCAGCCAGCCAGCCATTTCTGTAGTCTTGCCTATTACAGAGGACTGCTGCTATGACAATAATCTTGGAAGAGGCGTGCTTTGGGCTTCAGGATTCTTCATCGAGATCAGTGGTGTCAAACTTGTGGTGTCATACTGTTGTTACATGATGCATTGCAACTTCCCCCCCTTTGCTAAAACTGGGGTGGGCATGGGCAGCACATGATGCATCCAGCCTTCGGGCCACGGGTTTGGCACCCCTGATCTAGATAGTGATGTCTATTTTAGAAGCAGTAACAGAACAAAGAATTCAGGTATATCATGATATATTTATTAAAATAGTAAAATAAAATGGCTGAAGTACACTTACCAAAAGTTCCTGTTTTGTCAGTTGAGTAATAACAAATACCTAAAGTAAAAATTAGGAAAACTCAATTGTTTATATTATGCTAGCTAACAATATGGTATACAAATTTTTGGAAGAAGAACATCAGTAATTTTTAAATTTTCAAAGAAATCTAACACTAAAAAAAAAAGAAACACCTTAATTCTACATCCAAATCTCCCTCCCATTTTTTGAAAAGAGGGGTGAATTATCACCAGGATCCTGTTATTGCCTCCAAATCCTGCTATGCAGTCTCACTGTAGCCTGGTGAGAATAGCTCCTAGCAGGGATGAAAAACAATGCTAAGATGGTATATATGTAAAAAATATATACTTCCAAAGTATGAAAATCAAAGCAAACAGGATTAAGAGTTGGTACTTTCTAATGATTTTCTGACTTGGTCTAATTTTGCTCTGACTGATGAAGTTGCTTGGATAGCAATGAAATGTCTCAGATTAACAAAGTTTGGTCCAGTTGCCATGATTCAACCTTCAGACCCTTTGGCCTGGATGAATGAGTTTTCATTGACATAAAGGAGTGGATGGTTTAATAATCGGAAGCAAGAAAGTAAGAAGAAATGTATACTAGTGGAACTCAATTTTTTTTATAAAATAAATAGCTTCCAAATCTTTTGTATTTGGTTCTTTTGTAGAGGTTCCACCAGTATACAAGGAACAAAAAGGGAAAGGCCAGTGCGTAACGGAGTTTAATGTGTGGCTAAAGGAGTGGTGTAAAAAGGAGGGCTTTGGTTTTATTAGTCATGATGTCTGCAGCTGGTCCAATGAAAAACTGTACAAAAGAGATGATTTGCATCCATCAAAGAAAGAGACTGGGTTACTTGGCATTAAATTCATAGATTTCCTGGATAAAAATTTAAACTGAACAGCAGGGACAGAGATGGATGGGGCGTTGGTTTTTACCTGATACGCTTCTTCTCGTAGAGCTGCGTAGAGCATCCAGAGTGGGAGGTGCTCCAGTCTCGGCTCTCACAGGCTGAGGTTGAATTGAGGAACGCTCCTCCCCATCACATGGTCCCTCGTAGCGTTCCCCAGTTTTGCGAAGACGAGAAGGAAAGGCCTTATTCTCATCCTAACTAACAGCTAATCCATTGGCCGAAACAAGATTCCCCACCAGACGGACTAAGGGGTGGGGCTGGATGCTCTACGCAGCTCTACAAGAAGAAGCGTATCAGGTAAGAACCAATGCCCCTTCTCCATAGAGCTGCTACGAGCATCCAGAGTGGGACATACCAAAGCTTGGCGAGTCCTATGGGAGGGATCCTGTCTGGTTCGGAATCTCCTCTGGAACCTCAAGGACCCGTTGAAGGACCCGCCTGCCAAAAGAGGCCTCAGCCGAGGCGAACACATCGATTTTGTAATGCCTGATAAAAGGGGATGGGGATGCCCAGGTGGCAGCCCGGCAGATATCAGTTATTGAAGCTTGCGTGGCCCATGCGGCCGAGGTAGCCATGCTCCTGGTGGAGTGCACAGTTATGCTGGGGGGAACAGGTAGAGCCTGTGCCTGGTATGCCTTAGAAATGGCGGCCCTAATCCAACGGCCAACAGTGGCAGGTGACACTTTGTGACCGAGCGACTTGGGTTGGAAGGACAGAAATAATGCCTCTGACTTCCGGAAGGGCTGGGTGCGTCTGATGTAGATCCTTAGGGCGCGCCACACATCAAGAGTGTGCCACTGTCTCTCCCTCTCCCGAGAAGGTCTGGGGCAGAAGTTCAGGAGGATGAGCTCCTGAGCTCTGTGAAAAGCTGAGTTAATCTTGGGTAGGAAGGTGGGGTCAGGTTGGAGAACGACCCTATCCGAATGGAACACACAAAGATCCTTTCTGATGGAGAGGGCTGCTATCTCCGAAATCCGGTGAGCAGATGTGATAGCCACAAGAAAAACAGTTTTTAGTGTCAGGAACTGCAGGGAGGCCTCCCTGATGGGTTCGAAGGGAGGCTTGGTAAGGGAAACAAGAACCCTATTGAGATCCCAGGTGGGATAGCGGTGGACAGTTGGGGGGCGCAGATTGGAAGCTCCCTTAAGGAAGGCCCGGATATGGGGGCGATGAGAGAGGGAACCCCCACTACCGGTGGGAATAACGGTTGCCAGGGCCGCGACCTGCTGTCTTAGGGTGTTAGGGGATAGACCCTTGTTGAGGCCCTCTTGAAGAAAATCCAGGACCTGTGCAATGGAGGGAGAGAGGGGATTGATCTGGAGTTTGTGAGACCAATTACGAAAGGCAACCCACGTGGCGTTGTATATTCATGTGGTCGAGGGCCGTCTGGCTGCCAGGATAGTGTCTATGACCTGGTTGGAAAACTTCTCTCTCCTTAAGTGGTCCCGCTCAACCTCCAGACGGCTAATTGGAGCCATTGGGGTTTCGGATGTGCAAGTGGGCCCTGGGACAGAGAAATCTTGTCGGGTGGGATCCTTCGGGGGGGGCCACTGAGAGGTTGCGGAGGTCCGCAAACCACGGGCGTCTGGACCAATAAGGGGCCACCAGAAGAATTTCCGCTTGCTCCAGGATCAGTTTGTGGATGATCCTGGGGATAAGGGTTGGGGGGGGGAGGCATAAAGAAGCCCTGGGGGCCAAGGGCAATGCAGGGCGTTGTGGTTCTCTGCCCCGTGAGAGGGGTACCTGGAGAAGAACCTTGGTAGCTGGGCGTTGAGGAGGGATGCAAAAAGGTCCACCTTGGGAAGGCCGAAGATTGAGGCTGCCTCCCTGAATAGGGATGGGTGGAGACACCATTCTGCTTGGTCTAGGGTGGCTCTGCTGAGCCAATCTGCTTGCATGTTTAGAGCCCCCGAGATATAGTCTGCTTCCGCCCATCGGCAAAGGCGTTCGGCCTCTCTCATGAGCCGTATCAATTGGGTGCCCCCTTGCCTGTTGATATGGGCTTTTGCCGTGACGTTGTCTGTAAGGACCAGGATGTGGCGCCCGCGTACCTGAGGTAGGAAACTGCGAAGTGCCAGGTAAACAGCGTGGAGCTCCAACCAATTTATGCTGCAGAGTCGTTCTGTGGTCGACCATCTGCCCTGGGACGAGAGAGAGTGGACGTGAGTGCCCCATCCGAAGAGGCTCGCGTCTGTGGTGAGGGTCAGCCGGTTGGGCTCTTTGAAGTAGTGGCCCTTGTTGATGGCCGGTCTGGTCCACCAAAGGAGGGATGTGAGGACTCTTGGAGGGACTCTGACCAGGAGCCTTGAGTTGCTCCTTCCTGATCGCTGATGCGGAAGCAGGAACCATTGAAGGGATCTGGTGTGAAACGGGCCCAAGGAATAACAGAGATACATGAAACCAACTTGCCTAACAATTTTGACAAGTCTAACAGAGACACCTTTTTTGCACGCCTAATGAGCTTGATAGATTGTTGAATGCTAAGGAGCCTTTCTGGGGACAGGAAGACCAGCTCCTGGATAGTGTCAATCACCGCCCCCAGATGGGTTAGCTGGGTAGAAGGGGAAAGGTGACTTTTTTTCCAATTTATCAGAAACCCATGGTCCTGAAGGGCAGCAAGGGTGAGTTTGGTGTCTCTCTCTGCCTGATCTTTTGAGGAGGACTGGATGAGGATGTCATCCAGGTAGCAGTGGAGATAGACCGGGAGGGATCTAAGGTGGGCAGCCAGGGCTGCCAAGACCTTGGTGAAGGCCCTGGGAGCGGAAGACAGACCAAAGGGAAGCACGACATACTGGAAGTGTTGTTTATTGTAGGAGAAGCGTAGAAACTTGTAGTGAGAGGGTCGAATTGCGATGTGCAAATACGCCTCTGAGAGGTCAATTGAAGTGAGCCAGTCCCCTCGTCTGGTTCCCAGGAGTATTGATTGTAACGTGTGCATTTTGAATTTGCGGGGGGCTAGAAAGCGATTCAGCCTTTTTAAGTCTAAGATAGCCCTCCAACCCCCTGAATGTTTGGGCACTACAAACAGATGGGAATAGAAACCTCGTCCTCGTTGAGCGACGGGGACGGGTTGAATAGCTTTTATATCGAGGAGGTGACTGATGTTGACGTCCATGAGGTCCTGCTTGGCAGGGTCTTTGGAGAGGGAGGAGGACATGAAGAAATCAGGAGGGGGGGACTGGAACTCAAGGGCAAGGCCAAAACAGACCGTGTCCCTGACCCATGCATCAGTAGTAGAGGCCTCCCATCGGTTGGCGAAGTACCTGAGACGGCCACCGATGGGGAGAGAGAGGGTTGAGTTATCTGGAGCACCGGAAGGGCCTGCTCCCAGATCCCCAGAAGGGCCTTTTATAGGAGCCACCCCTTCTGGACCTCTCGGCTGATTCGGCCCGATCTTGTGATGGGGGTGGCCTGTAAGAGGGAGATCTCTGGTATCTGGGGGGAAAGGAGGTCTGGAAGGAGGAATGAAAGGATCCTCGTCGAAAGGAGGGGGGGGCTCTGGAGTCGGACCTCTGAAAAAGAGAGGGGAAGTATTTGCACTTGTTATGGCTCTCAACCAGCAAGGGATCAAGGACCGGACTGAATAATTTACCTCCCGAAATGGGAGCAGATGCCAATTTCACTTTGTTTTTAATGTCCACTTGCCAGTGACGGAGCCAGAGCAAGCAGCGAGCTGTGACCTGTGAGGATATGGCTCTGGTGGAGAATTTCACAGCCTGATAAGTGGCGTCGGCTGAGAACTCAGCCGCGGCCGTGAGCTTTGCGATGTCCTGATGCACCCTGAGATTGGACATGGGGACATGTTGCTTTAGCTGGCGGAGCCATCTGATTGAGGATCTGGTGAAGAAAGATGTGGCCGTGGCCGATCTAATGGCCCAGGCGTCGGATTGGTGGGCCCAGCGCAAGGCCAGCTCGGCTCACTTGTCCTCTGGTTTCAGGGCCTCTAAGGCATTGCTAGGGGTCGAGGAAGAAGCCAAACCCACAATGGGTTCGTCAACAGAGGGGGGGTCTAGCAGGAGAGAGAAGTCAGGGTCAAGGTTGAAAAAGTGTTTGTCCTGACTGGAGGGGGCTGGAGGTGCCCCTGTAGAGGCCAGTTGTTGGGAAACCAGATCAGAAAAGATAGGTGGGA